TTTAACAGATTTTTTTAATTTTGATTTTTAATTTTAAAATATTTAACTATTAGAAAATGTCATCTAACAAATCCTTTCGTATACTGAAGCCGTTGAAAATATTTAATAATTATGAGCACGTTGATAAAATGGATGCTCACTATGCCTTTTATAAAAATTTATGTTCAATTCTTGACAATGAAAAATGTCTTAAGAAGTCCGCAATATTGCCCAGAAATTCTTTAAAAGCAAAAAAGTAAGTATGATATGCATATGATTATAGTCAGATGAGGCTTAGCCAGGTCCTTTCTTGTACCTTTAAATAGGAGTGGAACACTTATCTTATCCTTACAAGTTAGTGATAATATATTCCCTACATCCAGCCATTCATATTAATTTTTTTATCTGATTATTCTTTTGCGAATTATTTCTCATTTATTTTTCTTTTATAATGATGTACTTAATAGCTTCTAAAACACTTTCGTTCTCAAAGAATTGCAATAACCCAAAATTTGTCTCTTATACTCAATGGTCCATTATGGATTATTCTCTATTTAAGGAACTATAGTTGGATCAATCCAGTCTGGTTTTCATTTCTCTTATAAAATGAACTGATATATAATTCAGTATTTGCATCTGTTCTAACATTTTACTATAATGATGATAATATCCTAAATGAAAATGGAGAAATAATGAGATTAAGAAAGTGCAGTAATCATTTGAATGCAATTATTTTTATACTTTTTATATATCAGTATATATCAGATTATTTATTTCTAATATATTCTTTAGACCAGTCTTATAAATCAGTCTGGATTGAGAAGGAAATAAATCTTGGATCAGTCCTGATTGGTAGGATTGAATAATACAAAACAGTCCTAGGAATGAAATCTGATCTTAAGAAAAATAAAAGAATGGTCATTTTGAATCAGATCAGACTGGATCAGACTGATTTAATCCTATTAGTGGCGTATTTAAGAATAAATATATATCAGGATAGAGTGACACTTAATATGCTGTTTAACAGAATAACAGATATATGAAATGGAGTATTATTAACATCTTTACCCATTTGTCTAGAAAAGATATCTGAGTGAAATAGAATTTACTTCTTTAGTAAAGAAAATTAAATATATTGATAATGGATTAAATATAGAGATACAGAATATTTAAAGGTGTTAATAGTTAGATTTAAATTAATCCCTTAAACTGTAGAGGTTCACAAGCAAATTTGTCTGCTTATTTACTATAAATTCTCTTCTGATTTACTTTTATGAAAAATTAAAATT